AAATATATATATATATATATATATATATATATATATATATATATATATATATATATATATATATATCTTCTTGCTTATCAAGTAATCATATGGTTAATATGTGTTCTAAAATAGATATAGTCCCTGAGATTATTGCTTTAATGTACCTGTGACTCTGGTTGTTTCTAACTTTGTCAAATTGCAGGTGCAATTAATTCGGATTCAAATGAGAGTTCCCGAGTATGGATGGACCACTCAGAAAGTTTTCCACTTTCTTAATTTCTTGGTGAATGGAGGTTGGTATCTTCTTTCATAATTATTTATGTTGGAAACATGCTGATTGAAAATATTACAAGCTGTTTTTCAAATGATCTGTCCGGTACTCCGCTTATACTACTTGGGAAAAAAAAAGATTTTTCCGGCACATTTCACTTTGCTAGTTTGCTTTGACCTGTTGGGTTTAGTAATGAAGTCGTGTTTTTGTCCGTTGGTAGTTCGCTCGCTTGTTTTTGCATTTCGCCGGGATGTTCAGAAGTTGAACCCTGAGGTTAGGCACTGACATAGATTAGGTGTCTGGTTGCCATTTTATATTTCTTTCCTTTCAGTTTGTAACTATGTAGGTTATGTTTGTGTAGATTATCCAGCACATCTTGCTTGATATGCCAAGTCTTGCATTCTTCACAACTTTTGCTCTGCTAGTATTATTCTGGGCTGAGATATACTATCAGGTTTGCCTGTGATCTCTCAACTCAATGTTTTGCAGATTGTGTCACTTTCAAGGTTAATATATGTCTTTCCTGTTGCAGGCACGTGCTGTATCTACTGACGCTCTTAGGCCTAGTTTCTTCACAATTAATGGAGTGGTGTATGCCATTCAGGTAGATATTTAGTCCTTACACTACGCGTGCTCAGCAAAATATTGGTGCTTGAGCATTGAGTTAAATTAACTCCTAACATTTTGCAAAATTTTAAACCTAGAAATTATTCTCCCAAAACTTGACTAGTTTTACAGACAAGGACCGCGTTTCATTTTTTTGATAAGCGAGAAATATCCGAGGGAATGAAACACGGTTTGTAGCCTTCTCCACTTCAATACCAAGCTCTTTTCTGCGGCAGAGTTCGAACCACGGATGTGCCTAACCCAGACATCATTTGTTGCGCTCTTACCACTAGCCGTAGGGTCACAATGACTGTCTTTCATGTTCTCAATATTTTTAAAAATTAACAGAGGTTTTTCTTTTGAATTCTTAGTTGCATTTGTTTGTTTTACTTTAAATTGTTACTCCTACTTAATTTGCGTTATCTGCTGATAGACCTAGTAGTTGCATCCATGCAAGTTGTACACTGACATTGGAATTTATTTGTTTTATATTTGCTGACTGAATTCCGTCCATCTAAACACGTCTCATGCACCAGATAGTAATAAGACCTGCCTTCAGCTTGCCTTCAACTACTTTCTTGTCCAGTACAAGCTCAAAAAGTGTATTCATGCTGCATCTCAACTCCAAATCACTCTCTCAAGGCAAAAAGCCTGCTTGAACTTTTTTGCTGGACAAAACTGTCCCCTGTAATTAGTACTAGTCATTTTTTGGACGTCGTTAGTACTATTGTCCTAGATTGACACTTTGTATAGGGCCTAGCTTCTCTTTTGTTTTTGCCTTTTGTAACTAGGCCTCCTGTAACTATGCATCTTCTTGATGCTTTTTTTTAATGAAACACCTTACTTCATCCAAAAAAAAAGTGTTCATGTTGCTTTTGGGGGTAGGGAAGACATGATCGACACTTTCCCCTACCCGCCAAACCCCAAATGCACCCATCCCAAAGTAAAAAGGAAAGAAGCGCCAGTGATTATACAAATTCGTCACATCAGAGGGAAGAAAAGAAACACAGCACCAGTAATTTTGACATAAATGTTCTTCAGGTCTTGGTGTATTGGTTCCAAATGGAAGTACATGAATAGGACTGGATTTCTAAGTTTGAAGATGCTTTATCAAGAAGGGATACTGCGTCTGGTGATTTACTAAGTGCCAGAGTTGGACATCAGACAAGCTTATGTCCTGTGATAGAGTTTTTACATGAAACAGTATCTGAGAAATTGAATTTCTTTCATAGCTACAGATGCTTTGTTGATGTTTGTTGCTTGATTTATCCTTTTTCTTATTAAATTTCCAGATTATATTATGGCTGATAATATGGTGGAAACCTATTCCAGCTCTTGTCATCTTATCTAAGGTGTTCTTTGCAGGTCTGCATTTTGGGTTTTACCTTATTTAATAGTTTTTCTATTGCATAGATATATTGCGTCTGCACTGACACATTTTCTTTTGTACTGGCCCGCATTATTTTGCAGGTGTATCTCTATTTGCAGCCTTGGGGTTTCTTCTTTATGGAGGAAGGTAAGATCTAATTTCTCGTACCAGTGATCTAATCTAACCTCTGAATGAGTGCATTGGTGGGACCACACATCTAGAAGCATTAGTGCTAGCAGACGATCATATGCCATGCATTTATTTCTGTCCTTTGTGAGACAATGGCGCTATGTTTATCAAAAGAATATCTGATTAACGGCTACACAGACCCTTTACCACTTTCACTTTCTAAATTCTAAGAACCTCTGTTGTTATGCTATGTAATTGTTGTTTACTTGCTCAAAGTTGTCTTTTGGATAAGTTATGATCTGCTTACCCAGCCTGCAAATTCATAGATTTTAAACCAGCCTGAGATTAATCCGAGCTAAGCCTTAAGGATCGCCTTTTTCTGAACTTAATGTAATTTATATAATAAGCTGCTTCAGGTATTAGATGTCATTCATTCTCTGATTGCAGCAATACATACAGTCGTTCTCATTCATACATAGCAGTCCATATTGCTATGTCATACACCATGGTGCTTCCCTGCTGTTGCCAAACATTTGAATAATTTCATAAGGATGAGCTAGTGAGAGATGGGCAAGATTAAGAGTTGATGTGAAAGGAGAATAACACCCAGTTAGGTCCGCGTATGGTGGATTTAGAGTTGGATTTATGGTAGGCATCCATCTATCTCTTACGATTGTGTTATCGTCATGGGCGTCATGATCTTCACGTAGGTTAGGTTCAATAATTTTTTTTTTTTAAATGTTTCTAGTAGTGAGAGCAAGTGTTCACTGGGTTCTGTAACAAATGGGGATATCTTAGAACCAAAGCCCAAATCTGGCTAGTGAAAAATATAATCATTCATTCACAGCTGCAACACTCATAAAACATGTAAAGTTGGTTTTTTTCTTCTATTGGACTCTGAGATGAGGTCTATCAGAAACATCCTCTCTACCTTCAAGGTAAGGATAAGGCGTGCGTACACACTACCCTCCCTAGACCCCACTTGTGGGACTATAATGGTTTTGTTGTTGTTCTTGTTGTTGGACTCTGAGATGAATCTGCATGAACATGTAACCCAACTGCCTTAAGTAGACTGGGTACATAGAGTGCCACGTACACCTTTTGTGGCATCTACTCGGATTAGGCACATGGTAATATTGTATCCCACTTGTTCAGACTTGCTCCCTAAATTCTTTTTATTTTATTTTAAATAAAGAACTTACTCCCATAATTCCTTTGTATACTTTCATGAGCATTTGTCTTTTCTCTTTTTGGTTTTCATGTCTTAGCTTATTGATCTGTTAAATGGTCTAAAATTTTTCTTCTATTTTTCTTTGCTAGTTTTGTGCAAATAGATATCCTGCAATTTAATGTTGAAATATGCAGTTGAAAATTTGATTAGTAACTTACATCATAAAATATTGATATTAGTTCACTCCTTGAAGGCTACCTAAAGTGGATAGTATATGTTCGTTTAATTTGTCCCTTCACCTTTTGGTACATGCACATTTTAATATAATTTGTACGTGAAAAGTAGGTTAGAATGGGTAGTCATGGTTTCATTACCTATTTGATGTTCACAGTTTTTCTTCACCTTACGTCATTTCCTTCCAGGCTTTTCCTTATGTTACGGCGTTTCCCTGTAGAATCAAAAGGGAGACAGAAGAAGCTACAGGAGGTATGTTACTGTCGTACTGTGTGTCTTTCATTATTAGTTGTCCTTTCTTCTAGTTTTTTGTCGTTTAACTGCTTCTGTATTTTGGCATCTATAGGTTGGCTATGTGACAACAATATGCTTTACATGCTTCCTCATTAGATGCATTATGGTAAGTACATATTCCTGCCGAATAAGATATTCTCAGCTAAATTAGGACGACGCCACAAAAAGCCCTGCAAGCAGTCAATCATTTTTGTGATATGTGATTGACCTCTGTGTATTCTCCTTAGATGGTATTTTTATATTCTGAATATTGTTGTTGTAGTAAATTAGTCTTAGCTTATACTTCCAAGATTTCAACTGAAGTTGTTTAAGAAGGGCATTAAACCAACTTGACCCATGTTAACTCTTATTTCTCTTATCATGTGCGTCACAGCTGTGTTTCAATGCATTTGATAAAGCTGCGGATCTCGATGTCCTGGACCATCCGATTTTGAATTTTGTGTACTACCTAGTAAGTTCCTACAGCACTAAACCTTTAGTGGTACGTACTTTCAGCGTGCATATTGCTCTTTTAAGTGCCAGTGAAAAAGATTAATATTGGCAGCTGGTAACCTGCGTAAAGCTATGTTGCTCGAACTCTCTGAAAATTTCGCTGGATGCGTGTCGGGTCCCGCAAAAGTAGTGTATTTTTGGAGGATCCGACCCGGTGCGGAAGCATTTTGGAGATCTGTGCAACATAGGCGAAGCATAGTTTCCAAATCATGACTTAATTGGAAAACCGATATGATTCACCAGCTTGTGGCATTCAACACCTCTTTTCGTCCACAGTTCGTTGGTTAGGGTTGAGAGTTTCTTGTTTATGCGATGATATCTAGGTTTTTTTGTCAATGTTTTCTTGAATTGAAAACTGGCTCCAATTACGGCATTTTGATGAAACAATAAATTTAGGAAGGTTGAGTATGTGTACTGAAATTAAAGCTTGATTTATTTCTATTTATTTGTGTCTTTGTCCTTGCATAAGTAAAAGTTGATGTAAATCTAAACCCATGATATTCTAAATTTGGGTTTTCGGCCTTTATTTACAATATTAAGTGCACAGAAAGAAGACAAAATTGTGTATATGTTTTGAGGATGACCAGAATTCTGTCAACTCTTTGCAGTTGACGGAAATACTACCTTCTTCGCTTGTCCTTTTCATTTTGAGGAAGTTGCCTCCGAAGCGAGGGATCACACAGTACCACCCTATTCGCTGATACAATAGTCTGGATTCAATGAGGGGGATGAAGCTTCAGGATGGAAATCAAGCTCTGGGAAGTAGGATCAGGTACCAGACGAGTTGGCTTTTATGATACTTGTCTTACCTGGAAGTGATGGAAGCAAGGACCATTTGAGAGATTATCTTGTACATGGAGTATGGTTCATCAGGGACTCTGAAACTATAGTTTGTTCTTTGCAGATTTTTAGTTATGTTTCTAATTTATAGTCTTGATGCAAGAGTTGTGGAACATGCTGTGATTTCTAGTGTAATTATCCTCATCTTTGTCTTTCAGATTTCAATTGATTATTCTTTTTTCCTATATTTCAAGTATGTTTCGTGGCGTACTTGTTTGGTACACCCTATATTTCTCTTACAAGATAAGAGCAAACTATTATGATGCATTGATGTTGCATGGTATATGATGGTCTTATAGATACATAAAAAAAGGTGGATGTTTGTGAATAGTACCGAACATAATGTAGATAATTTACTCGAGAACTTTATCTGCTTCATGCTCACACTCATGTATTCTGAATGGTGAAGATGATTGTCTTCTCCAGGGAGATGAATTGCTAGTCATGCTGCAATTTGAATGGGTAGACTTGTCTCTCTTTTCATGAAGAGGACTGGTTGGTAACAGTTCAGCATTTCTAACTACCTTTCTCCTTTGACTTCTCTTAGTGTTAGGAGTTCACTCATGATGTTGCCTCACTTTAATGGACAAGTCTTCAAGCATCAGTTGAACCGGTTGGGTTCAGATGAAAATGGCTACGAGTATGAAGTGACACTCAAACAACACTCATGATGTTATCTCAGACCTATGTCTGGGTAGGGGTGGCAATGGGGCGGGACGGGGGCGGGGCGAGTTCTGTTTTAACCCACAAATTTTCACCCGCCCCGCCTAGCATGTTCACCCGCATTCACCCGCCCCGTAACTACACCCGCCCTGCTCCGCTCCACTAATTTTATTTTTATTTTTTTAGCTTTGAATTTTCTGCTCAAGCTTTTTAAGTTAATTATATTTACTTTCATTAAACTAATTCATTACTTTGGTATATATCAAATGGAATGTTTCTTTGGGATTTTAAATCTGGGTTACATTTATGATTAGAGCTATTTCGGTTGCTTCAGTTGTATCTTGCTGAAGAATATGCTTCAGCTATTAGGAGTTTAACCCATAAAAAAAAGCAGAAAATAATTAATGCAGATGAATTACAAAGATGAAATAAATTAGAAAGAACTTTTTTAAGAAGAAATTTTTGGCGTTTGCTTATTTCATTGTCAAAGTATACTTGTTAATTTATCTTCTGCTTTTTGTTTCTTCTGGGGGTGGGGTAGGGTTGTGGTGTGCTCGAGGGGAGGGGGTTGGATTTTAAAATAGGAGAATGACACAGTTACCCACAAAAACAAAACTATTTATCCTTGTCTACCCATTTATTTTTTTACCTATAAACCAATTACATTTCCTATCCATAGTAGTTTTTGTGAAATTTTTCTTTATTCTCCAATTCTTTTTTTTTTCTATGCTTCTTTTCTTCTTCTTTTTTTTTTCTTTTCTCCATTTCTTTTTTCTCGTTTTCTTCTTATTTTTTTCTTTTTTCCTTTTCTAATTTTATTTAACTTCTTTTTTTTTATATTCTTTTTCTCTTCATAATCTNTACTAAGAAAAATCAAATTGTGTGTCAATTAAATGTAAGCTAAATACAACCTAAAAAAAATATTAACTAACATATGATACCAGTATAATATATAGCTATTCCAACAGGGTATACAATTGTACACAAAGAGTTAAAAAAAATTCTTGTTTTGAGTTTCAAAATAACCACAAACTCAACAAACCCAATTTATGAGTTTCAAAGCTTCAAGGTCCTCCAATGGTATATTAATATTTTGCAGAAGTCAGAAGTCTTGGAATTCAAGTCATAGAATAAATCAAAGCGAAAAAAAGTTTTGAATTTTCACTTTGCCCCTCGCGCTGGGTAAAAGCTTAAAGCAAATTAAAAAGGAAAAGGCAAGTGAATTTACGGGTAATAAGTATACTATTATAGTATATTGTATACTATTACAGCATCCTGCTACAGTATATTACTTATTATTACAGAATACTATAACAATATATTGTATACTATAATAGTATATTGTTGCAGTATAACTATATACTCCTATAGTATATTGTATAATATAGCGGTATACTGTTAGGTAACTGTGTTCTTCTTCAATTATTACAATATACCGTTGCAGTATATTGTAAACTATAATAGTATACTGTTGCAGGATAGCTATATACTCCTACAGCATATTGTATACCATAGCGGTATACTATTGGGTAGCTATGTTCTTCTTCGATTTTCAGCTGAAAATTTCGATCCCAATCACCTCAAATCAGCTCCAAATGCTATCAAGTTTCAGTATGAACTTCCAGAAGGTACTATAAGCAATATTTAACAGCACCCACTTTGAATCAAACAAGAAATCTTCAAAAATAAAATTGAGCTTCAAGCCCAACAATGGTGGATATTCAAATACACATAAAAATTTAGATCTGGGAAGCTTACTCGAAGATACTATAAGCAATATTTTATAGCACCCACATCGAATCAAACAATAAATCTTCAAATAATATTTCTAATTCTGGAGCTTCAAGCTCAACAATGGTGAGTCTTCATACACACATAAAAATCATAGGAAGATGAGGTAGAGCAATAACATGGGTTGACCCTCTTAATGAAGATCGATCTGACAGAGGAGAAGTAGATCCATTTAAGTACACTACCAAGTAAGCTTGCAAAAATGAAGTCAGATGTTTTAACATTCTGTAGTTCAAATGCGAAGGCAAATAGCTGTGGGCCGGGTAAATAGTCTTGGTTGCATAGGTAGAAAAAGTAAATAGTTTAGGTTTGGGTATTTAAGGGTAAATAGTTTGGGCTTAATGGGTATAAAGTAAGATTTTCTCTTCCGGGAGAATGACACAGTTACCCACAAAAACAAAACCATTTATCCTTGTCTACCCATTTATTTTTTTACTCATAAACTAATTACATTTCTTACCCATAGTAGTTTTTGTGGAATTTTTTCTTTATTCTCCAATTCTTTTTTATTTCTATGCTTCTTTTCTTCTTCTTCTTTTTTCTTTTCTCCTTTACTTTTTTCTCGTTTTCTTCTTATTTTTTTCTTTTTTCCTTTTCTAATTTCATTTAAATTCTTTTTTTTTATATTCTTTTTCTCTTCATAATCTAATTTCATTTACTGTTTTCATTGTTTTTTATTATTCTTTTTTTTTATACTATTACTAAAGAAAAATCAAATTGTGTACCAATTAAATGTAGCTAATACAACCAAAAATTGTTAACTAATATATGATATCAGTATAGTACATTGCTATACCAACAGGGTATACAATTGTACGCAAAGAGTTAAAATTTTTTTTTATTCAATTATTAAACGGAAATAATATCAATTGTCAATAAAAATTTTAAAAAATTCTAAAAGGGTCTAATTGTAAGAGTATACCGTTACGTTATATAGCATACTATAATATTTTTTTTTTGCATTTTCAATTTGCCCCACGCTGGGTAAAAGCTTAAAGCAAATTAAAAAGGAAAAGGCAAGTGAATTTACGGGTAATAAATATACTATTATAGTATATTGTATACTATTACAACATCCTGTTACAGTATATTGCATATTATTACAGAATACTTTAACAATATATTGTATTCTATAATAGTATACTGTTGCAGTATAACTATATACTCCTATAGTATATTGTATACTATAGCGGTATACTGTTAGGTAACTCTGTTCTTCTTCGATTATTGCAATATACGTTGCAGAATATTGTAAAATATAATAGTATACTGTTGCAGTATAACTATATATTCCTACAGCATATTGTATACCGTAGCAGTATACTATTGGGTAGCTGTGTTCTTCTTCGATTTTCAGCTGAAAATTTCGATCCCAATCACCTCAAATCAGCTCCAAATGCTATCAAGTTTCAGTATGAACTTCCAGAAGGCCAACAATGGTGGATATTCAAATACACATACAAATTTAGATTTGGGAAGCTACTCGAAGATACTATAAGCAATATTTTATAGCACCCATATCTAATCAAACAATAAATCTTCAAAATAAAATTTTAAATTTTGGAGGTTCAAGCTCAACAATGGTGGGTGTTCATACACAAATAAAAATCATAAGAAGAGGAGGTAGGGCAATATCTTGGGTTAACCCTCTTAATGAAGATCGATCTGACAGAGGAGAAGTAGATCCATTTAAGTCCACTACCAAGTAAGCTTGCAAAAATGAAGTGAGATGTTTTAACATTCTGTACTTCAAATGCGAAGGCAAATAGTTGTAGGCCGGGTAAATAGTCTTGCTTGCATAGATAGGAAAAATAAATAGTTTAAATTTAGGTATTTAAAGGTAAATAGTCTGGATTTAATGAGTATAAAGTGAGCTTTTCTCGTATTTTTATCTTTTTTCCCCCTCCTTTCCTATGGTTACTCTTTCCTCGTTATATTTAGCTGTTGTAGTTAATATGTAAACAATTTAAATATGAGAATAGAAAAGGATTAAAATTGCCAAGCCTTTTAAGAAAAAAAGGGTAGAAAATTCGCATACAATGAGTAGTTTTTGTTCCTCGTCCATTTTCATGAAACAATACGTACCCGTGACAGGTAGCTCTTAGGGGTGTTCATGGTTTGGTTTGGATCGATTTTTCCGTTAAAATAAATCAAATCAAGTTAGTCGGTTTTTCAAATATTAGAACTAGACCAAACCAATTAAGTCGGTTTTTCAATTTTTCTCGATTCGGT